GATCCAGTAATTTAGGTCAGTATCGGACTGATACCGATACGTAATATCGGACCGGTCCATCTCTAGTGTGTAGTGAGGGGTTTTATAGCCTTAAAACATCTATAATGATTGTAAAAAAATTAAGTTAGCTATTTTGCAGATTTCACATATCGCGGGTTATTTTTAGAATGTAGCTCCAGCGGTAAATGAGGGACCACTCTACATACAGTTTACAGTGTGCATGGACTCACCTGTGATCAGATATTCTCCACTTTGCTTTATTCTAACCGATTCATTTCTCTGCTTTACTATAACACTGTAAGGTAGCTCTGTATGTATGAGTTGATTGGATTTCTACTTGGAGGAAGTGTTCAGAGAGCAGTGTGTTGTCCAAACTGATGCTCTATTATAGCATGCTAGCTGTAGCCAGCTGTCTGTCCTTTCCTGTGTAAAGATGAACTGCAAAAAATAAATAAATAATGAGATGATCCTAGTCTTCATTTAGTCCTGTTTGTTTGTTAAGCCACTTATTACTGGCCTATGAATCATTCAAGTGCAAAAAGGCACCTAACTCAACACAACTCAACCAGTGTTGTGTCTACACATACCAGACAACTTAGCAAAAGGATCATTTTAAATTGTATCTCTGGGCACTTTGTTACTCGCAGCCTGTCACAAAAACCTCATTTGTTCCCATTTCTTTAGCTGAATCTATGAAAAATGTGAAAGACAAGACAAGGTGGTTCCCAAAGAGCTTTATAGGTGAAAACTTGGCGAACCTCAGCTTGCTGTGCAGGGTGTTTTCATGGAAACTGGACAAAAGAAGGAGATGGACAGTATCTGAATGTCATGTCCTTAAGAGGAAAGGCCTGACACGGGCCTTAGAGACACATCTGGACCTTCACCTGATCCATCTACTGTTCTGTGAAGCCTCGTCAGAATTGTCTAAGTTGAAGGGTGGCTGTGAAGAAGGCGTTCATGAAATGTACGAGAAGAGAAATTCAGAGATGGAGGTTGCTCCCCTCCCTCCTCTCGGCGTCTGCCTCAGCAGGACCAGCCGCCTCCTGCTGTGCACCTGTCGGCCTGAATATTTAAACAGGGCCTCTCTGTCTGAGAGCGTTTGCGCGTCTGTGACGACAGCGGCACAAATATTTCAATGCATTTACCGAGATGCAGAACTGCAGCCTTCCTCAATAACACTGTCACCTTCAAATTGAATCACATGCACACTCATCAGCCACATTTCAGCGTCTCGCCACCTCGTTCGCTCTCTTCTCTCGTCCTGCGTCTCCATCTCTCGGCCCACGTCGTCACAGATGGAGCAGAGGCAGAGCGCTCGCTCATTTGCAGTGAGCTGTCGCTGAATATAATCTATCCTCTAACTGTTAATCGAATTTAAATAGCCTTTTTCCCCCTCACACTCAATTCATTTCCATTAAAGTATGCCTCGTCTGGTACAGAGCACATCAGCTATGAATGACTTCATTGCTTTCAAATGAAGAATGTGTTTAGCTGTTCAGGGTGAGAAATTCCAATAAAGAGAATACAGAGGAGAGGACGCTAAACTGCGGGATACGATGCTTCGGAAGGAATTCTGAACACATGCTCACCTGCACGTTATTAGACCTGATAAAAAATACAAAAATCACCTTGGATTCACCTTACTTTCACATCAATCCATCAATCACTATGGCAACTGTGCTCATCAGCAAACAACTGCTGACGCACAAACGAATCAGCATATGCACGCACGGCCTTATTCACACTCAACACATCTCAAGTGGTCTGCATTAAGGAGCATGGCTCTGAATTCATTTTAGGTGTGATTGCATGTAAATGCCTAGACATGCTGGGCTCTGATTGCTCACGAGTGTTAGAGACAGACATGTGACTGCGATGGAGGGTAAACAACATAGATCCTCTTCACTACAGTCACGAAAAAAACTTGTGAAATTTTTGTTAAAGGTGGTTCTAAGAGGTCCTGAATCGTGGGGTGCACTTCATTTTTCACGGGCCTGTGAAAAACAATTTTTCAAATTATAATGTGTAATGTCTCACCACTAGATGTCAGTAAGTAAGTGAATAATAGTAGCTTTGGTGGCTTCTGTACAAACAACTGCGGTTGCCGTTCATCTGTAGTGAGTTAGGCTTACAGTTTGCTGTTTAGCTCAGCTGTCATTATGTGCAAAACTTTGTGAAATGAGCTGATGAGTCAGTGTGGTGAGTTGCTGAGGATATACTGAACTTCTCTGTTGGTCAGAGCTTCTATTTTTGCTGCTGTTAGCCGCTGTTAGCCGCTGTTAGCCGCTGTTAGCCGCTGTTAGCCGCTGTTAGCCGCTGTTAGCCAGCAGCTAAACTTTCTTTGAAGTGGATCTAATTTTGCTAAACTTTGACACTTATGAAATGAAAATGTAATCAAACTGTTTATCAGAGGAAAAGTATGATTTTTAGGATGCTCAAACTTAGCATAGCATTAGCTGGTAGCTGCTGTTGTTTAGCGTTGTTGTTGTCAGCTGTTTGGAGAGTGGAAGGATCATATGTCTAACCTGCTAACTAGAGCTGCCACGATTAGTCAACTAGTCATGATTATGTCGACTATCAAAATCGTCGACGACTGATTTAATAGTCGAC